ACACACACACATGCACACACAAACACACACACACACACATGCACACACAAACACACACACATGCACACACAAACACACACACACACACACACACACATACTTGTATTTGTGGTTAACGGGGACTCTCCATAGGCGTAATGGTTTTTATACTGTACAAACTGTATTTTCTATTACCCTACACCAACCCTACACCTAAACCTACCCCTTATAGAAAACTACTGGCAATTTTTGAATTTCATAAAACACCGTTTTGTAGGTTTTTAAGCCTTTTGTTTTACGGGGACATATTTGTGTCCTCATAAACCATATATACCAGTACACACTTACACATACACACACGCACATGCAAGCACTTGATTCATTCACTGCTATTATAGCTAGCATTATAGTTATCGTTATTGTTAATGATTATCATTACAGTTGTCGTTATAGTTATCATTAATGATTAACAGTGTAGTTATTACACACTTTAGGTAATATAAGGTAAGGTAAAATCAGACTACTTTTGGATTACTTTTGATCTAACTCGTTATTGTACCATTTAGATATAAAAATACAAAGAGAAAGAAAATTTAATCCATTCATTGTGATTAACAACATGAAGTGCATTAAACATCAAAGTTTTCCAAACTGAGCTTTGTGAGCTTAATGAAATGCTAATAATTAATTAAATCATAAAAATGTAAAATTAATATAATTATTTAAATGCATGTCGTGACCATGTGAATAAAATGTAATAATGTAATCAATAAAAAAGTAACTGTAGTCTCATTACGAGTATTTTAAAATAATATCTAATTGCAAATTCTTAATTTTTGGAATCTGATTACGTAATCCAGATTACATGTAATCAGTTACTACCCAGCACTGGTTATTGTTATATTTATTGTTAATGATTATCTTTATAGTTATAAGTATAGTTATCATTCTCTGATGTGTTGTTTGTTTCTCTCTCAGCGGAGTACAGGCTTCTGTGTCCTGGAGGAGAAGGATTCCGACCCAATCCCATCACTGTGACACACACACTCTCACACACACACGCGCACGCACGCACACACACACACTCACACTCATACACACACGTGCGCGCGCGCACGCACGCACACACACACACATACACACACTCATACACACACTCATACACACACACGCACACAGGTTTGTTTTTGTGAAAAGTGGGGACATCCCATAGGCGTAATGGTTTTTCTACTGTACAGACCGTATATTCTATTGCCCTACACCAACCCTACCCCTAAACCTACCCCTCTGGTGGATGCTGATCTCTCTGTCTGTGCATTAGATATCAACGAGTGTCAGGAGCTGCCTGGTCTGTGTCAGGGAGGAAACTGCATCAACACGTTTGGCAGTTTTCACTGTGAATGTCCGAAAGGTTTTGCACTCAATGAAGACACCAGGATCTGTGAAGGTCAGTCCGACTTCCTCTTTCACACACTCTCTCTGTCTCTCTCACTAAGTCTGCTTTATTTTTGTAGTGCTTTAGACTCTGTACACTGTTTCAAAGACAGACAGCTTTCCGAGGAAGTTTTTCCAGCATCATTCTAAAAATTTAGCATGAAGCAACAAAAGTGTGACTTTAAAGTGCACATTAATTAAAATATTGATTGTGTGTGTGCAGATGTGGATGAGTGTGAGCGTCCCGGCATCTGTGGTCCGGGTCAGTGTTACAACACCATTGGGAACTACACCTGCATCTGCCCTCCAGAGTACATGCAGATCAACGGAGGAAACAACTGCATGGGTGAGTCACGCTACACGCATCACGCCAGCGGTTTCCCTCAGAGCAGACTGTGACGCGTTTGTTGTGCTGTGTGTTCAGACATGAGGAAGAGCTTGTGCTACAGGAACTACTACTCTGATAACGCCACATGTGATGGAGAGCTGACCTTCAACATGACCAAGAAGTTCTGCTGCTGCTCGTACAGCATCGGCCGGGCCTGGAATAAACCCTGCGAGAAGTGTCCCGTCCCCAGCACCAGTGAGACACACACTTACTTACGTTCATTCATTCAGCAGACGCTTTCATCCGAAGCAGATGAGGAATACAACAAGCCATTCTTCTGAGGTGGAAATAACATGAGAAGAGCAAAGTTTAAAACATCTATACGTCTAGAAGAGTACAGGCTAGAACAGAAAGGGACTGAAGAAATATTGCAATGCAAGAGATGAGTTTTTAACCATTTCTTGAATATTGTCAGGGATTTGCACATAAACCAGAGTCTTTAAAAAGTCTTAAATTTAGTTTTATGAAGTTTAGGGCTACAAAAAGTCCTAAATATCTTAAATCTTAATTATAATTTCAATAGGTCTTAAATTTTGGACAGAAAAACAGGAATTTCAGTATGGGTTAATGTGATGAAATAAAATGTGAGTGCTGCTAAAAACATGGCGCTGTTGCACATGCATATATATATATATATATTCAGTTTATAATTTTGACTATAATTTTCCCTATTCTTAAAAAAAAGCTGAAATGTGAGGTTTATCATTTTTTAAAACTCTTTGTTTTTGTCAGAATCTGTATTTGAACTGTAAAGTTGTTAAAGTTGACTTTGCTCTACCTCTCATATGGTATTAATTAAAAAGGTCTTGATTTAAAGGGGTCATATGATACTGCTAAAAATAACATTATTTTGTGTATTTGGTGTAATGAAATGTGTTTATGCGGTTTAAGGTTAAAAAAACACATTATTTTCCACATACTGTACATTATTGTTTCTCCTCTATGCCCCGCCTTTTTGAAACGCGTCGATTTTTACAAAGCTCATCGTTCTGAAAAGCGAGGTGTGCTACTCCAAAGAGAAAGGAAAAAATGAAAGAAATCGCATTGACCCCTTTAAAAAATTCTTCAGATATACTGACAAAAACACACTGCTGTTCTCTGCTGCAGATGAGTTCGCTGTGCTGTGTGGAAGTGAGAGACCTGGATATTTTATTGACATTTACACCGGTCAAGTCATTGGTAAACACACAGATATACTCAAAGACATTCAAACACGCAGTTCTGTGTCTGCAAGATTTCACATCCCTCCTCTGTGTGTGTGTGTGTGTGTGATCCGTAGACATCGACGAGTGCCGTGAGATTCCCGGAGTGTGTGAGAACGGCGTGTGTATCAACATGATCGGCAGTTTCCGCTGTGAATGTCCGATGGGTTTCGTCTATAATGACAAGCTGCTGATCTGTGAGGGTAAGAGTTCACTGGACGCGTCACTGCCCTTCGAGAGTCTAAAATCTACAATAATGTCAACAAAAATGAGTGACAGGCTGCATGTGACGAGTTCTGGATTAACAGTCTGTATAAAGATTGATAAATGAAATGAGATGATTTACTCTCAACACTCTGTGTGTAGATATTGACGAGTGTCAGAATGGGCTGGTGTGTCAGCAGAATGCCGTCTGTCTGAACGTTCCTGGAAGTTTCCGCTGTGAGTGTAGACCTGGATACCGGCAAACTCCCACCCAGCAGTGTGTCGGTGAGTGTGTGTAATGAAGATGTACCATCTCATATTGCTCATAGTGTGTGTGTAATGATAATGATGATGGTGTTTGACTCTTCCTCTCTCAGATCGTAACGAGTGTGCTGAGAATCCAAACATCTGCAGTCCGGGTCAGTGTATTGACATGGTGGGTAGTTACCGCTGCAGCTGCCCCAACGGCTTCAAATCCACGCCAGACCTGTGTATCGGTAAGAGATCAGCCTCACACACCCTTCTATCTGTGCGTTCATATGTCTGTGGTACATCCTCATGTAGATAACTAACTAACCGACTACATGTGTTCTTAACTAACTGACCGTCTGTGTTCATAGCTAACTGACCGTCTGTGTCCGTGTTCATAATTAACTGACCGTCTGTGGTCTGTGTTCATAACTAACTGACTGTTCATAACTCTGTTTATAACTAACTGTCTGTGGTCTGTGTTCATAACTAACTGACCGTCTGTGACCTGTGTTGATAACTAACTAACT